GTGTATTGCATAGACAGAAAGCTTTGTTTACATATGTTAGTAGTAGTAGTAGTAGTAGTAATAATAATAATAATAATAATACTTTATTAGTATTATTGTTGTTGTTGTTTTTGTTATTATTGTTGTTGTTATTATTATTATTATTATTATTATTAGTAGTAGTAGTAGTAGTAGTAGTAGTATTAAGGATTTATATAGTTATTGAATATACATTAAATAATAAAAAATTATAATACTTATTATTATTATTATTATTATTAATATTATTATTATTATGCATTTATATAATACATAAAAATATATTAAATGAATAAGTATATATGAAACAGTTAATAATAATAATAATAATAATAATAATAATAATAATAATATATTGAAAAAATTATATATATATATATATATATATATATATATATATATATATATATATATATATATATATATATATATATAATAAAGCATTATGTATTTTTATTATTATTAATAGACTAAAATATATTAAAATTGTTACAAACAAAATGTTTTTTTTTTAATTTATAAAATATATAATATTGTTTTTTCTTTTTGTCTTAATAATAACATTGTTTTATATTGTAACTAATAATATAGCATTTAAATGCATGGACACTTTTTATATAAGATTGCATAATATAATAAAATTATATAATTAGATTTTTCAAGCCATCTTGTGTCCTGGCTGAAAGAAGGTGGTAGTCGTCTCAGTCATCAGGATGATGGATGTTTCCTCGTCTGTTTAGTAGTCAAACCCTCCTCCACATCATGGGCCCCTGAAGACACCACAAGACAAAAGAGCTGCAGGGACCCATTAATGAGGAAAGGGGACATGTGTGGCCATACTTGAGCTCACTGATGTTTATGGGTTTTAAACAAGTAAAGGGGTACATAAAAATAAATGCAGTTCCGAGTTAAATGCAGAAAGGTGGAGTGTGGATGGGATTTAAGTGAACCAACTGTCTGGGATGTGAGGACTAGTCATAAAACATTTGGATCACCCAAGAACTAATGAATACAAACCTTTGGAAATGTTGAAAAATGTCTAAATATTCTTTATAAAATGTACAAAAGATATTTTTTGAAAAGCTTGCGCTCACTTAGTTATATTTTGACCATTTATTCACTTTTTTTCTTGGTAAACAAAGGTCATGAATGTTTTTTGTTTGTTTGTTTGTTTGTTTGTTTGTTTGTTTGTTTGTTTGTTTGTTTGTTTGTTTGTTTGTTTGTTTGTTTGTTTAATTACATAACAAACAAATTTTATAACAAATATCATAAAAATGTCTAATTATTTGATAACTCAATATTAAATGTTCTTATTTAAAAAAATATGTTTGTTTGTAAATTATATATACTGTTTATTTTTATTACTTTGTTATTTATGTATTACCAAAATTTATAAATAATTAATAAAACATTTTTTTCAGTGTAAATATGTTTTTATAAACACATATTCCCTGTACTTTTATTTCCTCAAATTATGTCTGTTTTTAGGATTTTCTTTTATTTATTTTGATTTTTTTTCAAACCATAGTGTGTGTGTGTGTGTGTGTGTATATATATATATATATATATATATATCACACATGCACCATATCAAACCATAAAGATAACACACACACACATATTTCTTATAAAACAGATTATATTCAAATACTACATTTATTACTAATTAATTTATTTACTACTAATATATTACTAAAATTAATAAATACATATTTTGCTAAATTTTGAAGTTTTTTTTAAGAAATTATTTTTTAAGAACATTCAATTCATGAATTTTGAAATATTCTAGCACTTTTTGCCAAATTATTTCTGCTTTTACAGTTTGCTTTAAATCATAAAGTGATTTTTTTATAATTATTAGAAAACTTTAAAATAATACAACTTGATATTAAGTTTATCCAGAAGTTAAATTATATTTATTGTTGTTCTTTTTTAAACTGTAACTTAGTAAGCATTAATAAATAAATAAATGTTTTTACCAAAAAAAGATTTTTTAATTTAAGTATTTTTGAATGAATTGCCAGTACTTGCGATCTGAGTCATATTTAGCCAAATTATGCCTGCTTTTAGTGTTTACTTTGTGACTTTTTGTGCCTTGGCAAGCAAACACTATGAACGCCGAATTGTGTAGAGCTCTGTTTGCCTGCTGGCGTCATTTAGCATTTCTCACTTTACACTTACACAAAGAAATGCCTGATCTGTTGTGCCAATCTACAGCGTCAGGACTGTGTGCCAGGCTCTGGAGGGATTTCACAGAGTTTAGAGGGCATGAGAAGGAGCACAAACATCCTGAGGTTTCATAATGACGAGTGTCCCACACACACACACACACACATCGTATATGTATTTATGTATAAGGATGCAGATAGTCTCTGGAGAAATGAGCGCCTACGGGGTTTTGTAATTACTGGTCAAGCTGCCTTGAAATGAATTGCTTGAATGTGCTGTTGTGTTTAAATAAACCTTTTTCAGTGCATTCAGCTGCTATGACACACAGATTTCATTTGTTTCTCCTCATATTCAGGTTTAGACTCAGCTCATGCTTAGTTGTTTACAAAATTATTATTAATTAAATTTTTTTGTCACTGAAATCCCTTTGACATGTATATATTATATTATTAATCTACTAATTTATTCAAATAATAATAATAACAAATACACTTTATTAAACACCTATAGACCAACTGTTTACATAACTGCAGGTTAACTGTTTATATACTGTATAATAACTTTAACTGTTAAAATATATTGGTAACTAATAAAGTTATGGTGACTAATAAGTTTTCTAATTGTGATTGTTATACAATAATGTGCACCTTTTGTAAAGCTTTGAAACGTTAATTATTGTGAATTGGCTATACAACTAAACTTGAATTGAACTGAATTGTAGTTACTTTGATTCAGTGGGTGTAGTTAGTTACAAAGTAACTACTCACTGTAATTAGATTACTTTTCCCCTAAATAATAAAGTGATTTCTTTTTATTTGTAGGTCATTTAACTAAAGTTACTTATAATATACTTGCATTCAATACTGTACATAAATTCAACAGCTGTATATAAATCAGTTCAGAGAAGAAAAGCAACATATGTTTCACTGAAGATCTATATATTTTACAACTAAAGAAGAACATTTATCAAGATAACTGGATATGTGGAAGCAATCAAATAAATTGAGGAAGTAGTTCATTACAATATAAGGTATATATTCAGAGAAACATATATATTTATTGTTTATACATTGTATATTGTAATGTATACACCTTTATATATATATATATATATATATATATATATATATATATATATATATATATATATATATATATATATATATATATATATATATATTGTAAAATGTAAGTGTTAATGTTTTCAAAGTTTTAAAGAATTAAAAAAATGTATTTTAAAAAAATTTAAAGAATTAAGAGTATAATTTCTATTGCATATGCATTATTTGTGGACTTGTAGGATTTAGTTAACTTAAGTTAGATAAGTAATTAAAGGGGTGGTAGACAGTGTATTTTTAAGGCTTGGTTGTGTTTTTAAGATGCAAAGCAATGTGTGCTCATACTTCATTTGTAAAAAAAAAAATAAAACATGTTATTTTTTCATATATCTTAATTTGATTATTTTCAGCTACTCAGCCAACATAAAAACGACTATTATATTTTCTAGTTCTTCTGAAAGCCCCACCCTCAAGAGGCTCTAATTGGTCAGCTAATATAACATCGTGTGATTTGCAGATCGGCTCCACGTCACAAGGAAGCGTCTCTGTCATAACATTGTAGCACATCTGGTCACGCCCCTTCGCTGTGCAGGGTGTAACCTGAAGGGTTTATGACATCATTAACCCAGATGTATTTTTTGCAGTCCCCAAACTTCTTTCGCTGTAGGCTTTGCTAAGCTAACTCTGTAAAACCTAATGTCTTCCTTTGCATTGAACTTTGGGCGTATTAGATTCAGAGATGTTGTTTATGTTCACACAGCCACATTACACATCAACTAAAAATTTAAATATGATAGCGAAACACCCCTTTAAAATAAATGTAATGGTATAATTATATTGGTTTTTCAAGCTCTTGTTCTCTCCAAACTGGATTACTGCCACTCTCTACTAGCTGGGCTTCCAGCTAACTCTATCAAGCCTCTTCAACTGCTCCAGAATGCAGCAGCACGAGTGGTCTTCAATGAACCTAAACGAGCACATGTCACTCCGCTGCTAGTCCGTTTGCACTGGCTGCCAGTTGCTGCTCGCATCAAATTCAAAACTCTGATGTTTGCCTACAGAGTGACTTCTGGCCTAGCACCTTCTTATCTGCACTCACTTCTGCAGATCTATGTGCCCTCCAGAAACTTGCGTTCTGTGAATGAACGTCGCCTCGTGGTTCCATCCCAAAGAGGGAAAAAATCACTTTCGCGAACGCTCACGCTCAGTCTGCCCAGTTGGTGGAATGAACTCCCTAACTGCATCAGAACAGCAGAGTCACTCGCTATTTTCAAGAAACGACTAAAAACTCAACTATTTAGTCTCCACTTCACTTCCTAATCTGCAATTGCCTCTTTGAAACTAACTGTACAAAAAAAAAAAAAAAAAACTACTAACACTTCCCTTCTTAGACTTTACAGACCTGAAACTTGCCTTTAGTACTTATTCATTGTTGCTCTTAGTTGCGTAAATTGCTTCCTTGTCCTCATTTGTAAGTCGCTTTGGATAAAAGCGTCTGCTAAATGACTAAATGTAAAATGTAAATGTAATTAGTAATTAATTACTTTTTTTATTAAGTAACTTATCCAAAACCGGTAGCATTATATGGTCTATATTAAAGAAATTTGATATATTTGGATTTCCTTTTGAATCTTTGTGTATACATTTTTAAATGTGGAATTGAACTGTTTAAATGTAGCACACTGAAAATAAATGATTCATTGGATTTACTACATTTTTTTAAGGTACGTGGCTGCAAACAATTGATATAGGCTGAATTTAAACAAACAAATAAAAATAAGTAATCTTCAACCTAATTACTTTGTTTAAATCGTTTATTTTCAGTGTACTATTTAAACACTTCAATTCCACATTTAAAATGTATCCACTATAATCTCATTTTCTTTGAAAAGCATTGAACCAAAAAAAATATTCAGGGCCTCAAGGACTCCCCAAGCCACACCCACTTTCTCACTCACCCAATCAGCACCATTTCCATTTAGCATTTTATTGCCACTGATACGGTCTCTTGGCAACGGGCATCAGCAAACCAGTGTGCTAGTAAATCAGTTGGCAGTGTTTGTTGAGCGTCAGTCCTGCTGATCACCATGTGCTTCTAGTGATTAGCACTGCTTCACACACACACACACATCAGATAAAGCACAATTAATACGGCTCGGGCAGGGGGGTGCGCAGGGGCTTTGTGGGTGCGGGACAGAAACACACTGGTGCTAGACAGACAATGGAAGCAGCTTTAATTCAAAGCCGAGGATGATTTTTGTGACTTGTTTTGGAGCTGAGAGGATATCCTGAAATTTCTTGCACACACTGAGTCTCATCCCTGAAGCAGTGGAGAAGCTGATGTGTATAAGTGTGTCTGTGTGTGACATCTTCATGGAGGGTGTGAGAGACGTCAACAAAGGGTGTTACTATTCATGCTGGAAGGATTTATAGTCCTGTCATACAGTATGTGGATCTGTGGGATCTTTGACTTGTAATCGTCACTGTGAGTGGAGTGTGATGGTGCAACCACGTGCATCTCAGTGTGTTTTCCACCGGCTTTAGCAGGGATGTGATTGGCGAAATCTCTAAACTCGGGAGAATGTTGAAGCTCAAGACTTTTTGTTTGGATTACTGGCAATTCCTTTGCTTGCAGCCGCTCAATGGCTTCTATAAAAGGTAAGCGCTCTTTGTTTGAGACGTGGCTTTTTTTTATGCCTTTGTAGAAATGTGGCTTATGGTAATGTGCTTTTATTGTCCTCTTTGTTATTCTTTGAAAATATTATTAACCCATTTAATACCACCGGTCACAATAATGACTGTAAGGAGGTTTTTGATTTATTAAAATGGTAGTAATTGGTGTTTTAGTGCTACTAAATAAATAAAATAAATTAATTAATATCTCAATTAAATACCGCAATTGCTATACTACTTGGTGAAAAAAAGTCTTATCGATAATTGAAAAAAATTTAATTAAACAGCTATTTTATATGTATGTATTATATAAAAAGCTAATAAGATTTATTTAAAAACATGATAAATATTTTACGACATTGTTAAAAAATATATAAACAAATTACACAACAGATAATAATAATAACATTGTACAGCAATTTAATGTAACATATAATCTTACCTTAGTCTCCATCTTTCGTTTGTTTGTTCGTTCGTCCGTTTGTTCGTCTGTTCATCAGTCCGTCCGTCCGTCTATCTGTCTGTTAGCTTGTTTGTTCATTTATTTATTTATCTATTTAAGATGCCTATCAGCTACGTTTCCATCCACCTGTTTTTATGCGAACTTTGGATATGTACATAAAAAAAATTTGTTGATAGAAACGCCATAATGCACAAACATTTTGAAAATTTGCATAAAAGCATATGCCCATAACTGAGTAGGATAATTTTTTTTTCAATAAAAAAAGATTTGCAAAAAATACGATGGAAACACATTTACCGAACAAATTTCAGTATGCGCATTAAAAAGTCATGTGATATTGTTAAGAGATCATGTGATAAGAAAAATGTGTGTGAATGGACAAACCAGCAGGCTAAGCACAATGTAAAACATCTGAAATGCTGTTTTGGTCATTCTAAAACACCTTAACAATTTCAGTATTAGTGTTATTATGTTATTAATTACCTCCAGAATTGTCAAGAGTGTCTGTGCTCTGCATCTTATGCCTTCAAACGCCACCACACATTCATTGCGTGTCGGCATCATCTTCTGAGGCACTTCCGAGGCACTTCTAAGTCATTTATTAAATAAAAAAAAGATTCACGCAGCTTATTCTATCACAGCAAATTTGGTTTTTACTGTTGATATTTGTCGCCAGTTAATCAGGAAGTGACGATTTTGTTCACTTTGACTCATTGGATGGAAACGCTGCTTTATTCGCACTTTTTGTCTTAAAGGGCCATGAAACCCCCTCTTTCAGCAGGGTGTTTTCACACCTCTACTTTGGAAAAAGTCAGAAAAGTGGGCGTGTCCAGCTCTGTTTAGGGGGGAGTGTCGGAGGAACTAAAGTGGGATGGTGTGGGAGTGTCTATTTGTGCACGCGCGAGTTTCAGAGTCAAAATACACACCCACACAGACAGGAGAAAGTGATGGTGTTTAACCTACATGGACATCTGTAGTCGAATTATTTGCCAAATTATTAAATGTTGGACTTTAACTGCAGTTTGGTTCTTTCATTCAGGGAATTCATTCATGCCTCTCGCGACAAACGAGATATTTGATTCGAGGAACTGCTGCAAGTGTGTATTTTTCATGCAATGTTTGATACCGCACGGCGAATGAGAGAAAAAAAAACTCTGCATTTCCCGGAAACTTAGATGCACACGGCAGGTAGTGTCAGAAAGCCGCGTGTGTTATTCCGGTCACAAAATGCGGTGCTAACATTTCTGCACTCAGTGCAATAGTTAACTTAATTCGATACGAACAAACTGAATAAACAAAGAGCACTGGTCGCTCACTTACCAAATATGTAGAGACAGAACAATCACCAGCAACTAGAGCCGCGTCTTTATGAAGAGAATACTACAAGCAAATCCAGATTTCAGCGTTTGCAGATGAGAACAGCTCTCAGGTAAACAATAATCCTCCTTAGACACGTAAGTTATTGTTGTCGCGCGTCGCGTACACTGTTAATCCACACGTGAGTCTGAGCTCTTACAGAGAGAAAATGAAAACGAAACTTAACAGCAGCAAACTATAAAAGCAACACTTCACGCTTGTTTTGCCAACACAATGTGGCGTCTTTGTGGTTGTAAACACGGTGACAATAATGAATATTAATGAAGTTGCACAATAGAGCGCGCTGATTGGTTTGACCCAAGCCTTACTCATGCATTAATGTATCACACTGTAAGACGTAATAAGACTCACTCAGGCACAGACGTCCAGTCTGCACGCTGAAATACACGCTATTATGTCATGACCGTGACGCAGCTTCAAAAATTCGTTTCAAACAGGAAGTACAAATTTGCTTGAAATAACGCAAAAACAACCAATTTACACTTTTTAGTGAAATATAGGTTTCCTAATAGTGTTTTTAGCAGTGTGGGACACATATACGACTGTCAACAGCTCAAAAAATGTGTTTTGGTGTTTCGTGACCCTTTAACTATCCAGTTTTGCACATATAGTTAATTCCTATTTTTTGGATGGAAACAGTGTGTTGTGTACATTTTTTTGTATACAATAACAACCCTAGACTTTGGTTAAACAATCAGAGTATTAAAGAGTGGCTAATTGTTTTGTTAATTTTGATGACTGCAGAAAGATGCTTATGAATAAAGCATTGTTTGGATATACTTTTGTCTTGGGATTAAATTGTTAATTTCTGACCTAAGATACTTTTGTTTGTTGGAGCAGTTATGTGTCCAGTTGCAGTGTTACAAGCAGTTATTCATTCAGTAAAGAGCTGTGGAGCTAAGGCTGAACTGGTTTAACCTCAGCTCTATTGTGTTTCTGTGACCTGACAAGCGTTTCCATCACAGATCTGATCCTCTATTGTGGGGCAGGGGAGTCGTCGGGGGGCTCTGCCCTGTGCTAGGCTGCATGTGTATGTTGCAGTCTGTGTCCTGTCATTGATTTAGGATAATCTTCCTTCATATGTACTGAAGACCTTTGAGTTTTTGCGATGGTATACAAAAGGGCAGCTTATGTTTATTTATTTATTTATTTATTGTTTTTGTCTAAATAAATGGAAATATAATGCTATTATTATTATTATTATTAAATATTTGTATAATGGCATTTTATTTGAATAATGTATATGTTATTTTTGAATTTATTATTGAGTTGTTATATTTAAACTATAAACAGTTAAAATTATTTGTGTTAATAATTTACAATTTTATTGTATAAAATAGAAATATATTAATATCTTATTGTTGGGGACTTTTTGTTTATTTTGTTTTCTGTATTTGCTTATCTGTTTTAATATTTGAGTACCCGATGTTGATGTTGTTTTTAATATAATTGTTCATTCTTTTGCAGCACTTTGAGTTGCAAGTTATGTCGAAAAAGTGCTGTACAGATTAAAAATACATAATAATAATAATAATATTAGTAATTATTATTGTTATTATTATTATTATTATCATTGATATTATTATTATTATTATTAATATAATCATTAGAACATTGCAGTCATTTAATAATTTAAAATGTGTGTCTGTTTGTGTCTGTGTGTTTTAGAAACATTAGAAATCGTTTTATATACTTAACATTAACACAGTTAACTTGACCAGTTTGCTATTTTGTAATTTATTGGTTGTCATTAATAGTATCTGCACATCCTTATGTTTATGTGTCTCCTTGCTTCTTTCCCCTCATATGACAACTAAATCGAAAGAAAAGAGTAAAGTGGCATGATGACGTTGCAATTAACCTTTGATAACTAAGGTGTCCAGCCCTCTCTGACTCGAGCAGTGACTCAGGAAATCCCCTGTCAACTGTTCATAACTGTTCATGCTGACCTTCTCGCCTCTCCAATTGACTGTTGTAATCAGTGAAAAAGCGCATAGTTCACACAGCCTGGCCTTTGTGTGCGGTGCAGCTCCTTCAGTCAAACACAATATACAGTGTCACTGTTTTAATATCACATTTAAAACAAAACTGAAGAAACAAAAGAGAAGAATCTCCTTTATTTTTTTTGTTCACAGCATGACTTCCAGGACTGAATTATGCATGCTGCTGTCAGGGCAAACAGCCTCTTTAAAGCACATTAAAATGATTTATACGCCTTGACATTTTACGTTTTTGTTGGGCAAACAATCATGTTGATAATGGAATCAGACTCATGCAATTGCCTTATCAGAAACTGTGCTTTTACCTTCATATCATTTCATTCTCTGCATGATTTGATGGGAAAATGATTCACCTTGATCCTTTAATAGCTGCATTAATATGCAGTATGGTATAGTGTATGGTAATCGATTTTAACAAGTGAGGAATAAAACATGCTACATAATATCCTATTTATCTTCCTATTAACTTCACTGTAAAAAAAGACAAAAAGTTAAGACATATGTTTTATGTTGTTTTAACTTTTTTATGTTATTTTAACTACATTTTTTTAAGTTGTACAAAGTGTAACTTAATAATTTTAGCCTGTTTGATGTAAGTTGAGATGACTAGAAATGTTAGTTTGATTTAACTAAAAAAAAGGCAGCAAGATTTTTTGCAGTAGTAGTTATTTATTGGCTGTTAGTGCTCATTCTTTAGTAGTATATTTTTAAAAGATACTATAGTACTCATTTTTCTAATACTTGTTGCTGATTACATTGTACTGTGAAATGTAATAGTATGTATTTTATAATAATAATAATAATAATAATAATAATAATAATAATAATAAGTAATATAATACAATCTTAAGTAAATCTTCTAGTAAAAACATGCCACCAACATTTGCTATGCTTGAAACATGTTTACAGCGTCACAAAAAAAGGAAATTAATGTTTTTTTAACATTGGGTACTGGTATCTAAAAAAATAAATGCTATTATCTAACAATTAAGTTGTAGATTAAATGTTAAAGTGACTTACCATAACTGCTTGACCTTTTATACTGTATATGACCTTATGAACTGGTTATGCTATTTTTTTTATTGCTGATTACACAGTTTGTTTCTATTAGTATCCGTAGGCTTCACTGTTATTCTTCTGTTAGG